TTAAGAATGTTCTTGGAGAAGCAGTAAGAATTATTAATTTTATTAAATCATGACATTTGAGTACACATCTTTTTAATATTCTGCCTTACGAAATGGGAATTACACAAAGAAATGATGGTAGGGCCTGGTGATGGGCCAAATATAGGTGAGGCAGAAACAGTCAAAGATGATTCCCAGGTGTCTAGCAGGGATAACCAAGTGGACAACTGGGCCACATACTGAAGAAGAGAATACAGGAAGAGGATACAGAGGGAAGCATGTTGCCTTCTATTTGAAAAACTCAAAACCAAACCGTTGCCATCAAGTCAATTCTGACTCATAGAGAACCTACAGAACACAGGGGTTCTAAGGCTGTAATCGTCACAGGAGTAGACTGCTGTATCTTTCTCCCACAGAGGGGCTAGTAGGTTCAAACCACCAGCCTTTCCATTAGCAGCCAAGAACTTAACCACTGCGCCACCAGGGCTCTTTCACATTCTATTTTAGACATGTTGAATTTGATGTGCCAGCTGAGAGGAGAAAACACTTGACTATAATACTAAGAGGTAGATAATATTAATATGAGAGCCCTGGTTCGCAGTGGTTAAGCCCTCAGCTGCTAACCAAAAGGTAGGAGGTTCGAACCCACCAGCTGCCTGGGGGAAAAAATATGTGGCAGTCAGCTTCCATAAATATTACAGAGTTGGAAACTGTAGGGCAGTTCTACCCTGTCCTATACAGTCGCTAGGTGTTGGAATAGACTCGAAAGCAAACAACACTAATATGCTTCATCTTTTTTTTTTTAAGAGAGAGCAACTGTGGTACAGAAATGTTAAGCAACTTGACCAAGGCCATAAGAAGTGGCAAAGTTAAATTCTAACTTGAGTTTATCTGATTCCAAAACTCATGCATAGTCCATTACACCAATATCAGCAAATAGATAATAGCTTGAAACTTTAGGAGTGGAAGAACTCACCCCAGGAGAGTGTCAGTGGCCCAGAAGAGAGCCCTGGGGAATATAATCATCTAACAAACTGTCTCCTGAGAGGGGATGGTCAGGGAAATGGAAGGAGAATGAGGTGACGGCAATGCCATGAAAGCAAGGGGAGTGCAGCATTAGAAGAAGGGTGTGACCAGCAGCATCAAGTCCTATGACAGACACCAAGGACAACTCATTGGATTTTCCAACTGGAAGTCAGAGGTAACTTTAATGAACAGTTTCAACAAAATGCAGAAGCAGAAGCCTAATTATACTGGGTTGAAGAGCAAAGAGGATATAAAGAATATGAGACAGCAAATATAAACTGCACTTTCAGTGTTTGCCAGGTTTTAACATACTGAATATATGTTAGATTTAACACTTATTGAATATATACTGAATGACAAACATTATGCCCAGTGATTTACATATATAACCTCATTTTATCTTCACAACAACCTGTGAGGCCTGTAGGTATCATCTTATCCATTTTATAGCTGTGAAAACTGACACTCGGGGAGATTAAACAATCTTCTACTCTAACACAGTGGTAAGTGGGAGAGTTTGGATTTGAATCCAAGTCTTTAGACTTCGAAGAAGATGCTCTTTCCCTTTATACTCTTATAATTTCAGGTTACCAGAGTTTTTGAGAATTGTAGAAGATCTATTTAAAAAATGTTTTTAAATCTGGGCTCAAGCCCTAGGAACTGATGATTATCTTCTTGAAGAAACAAGATTACAATATATGAAACAACAGCAAACAAAGCAAGTGAGTATATAAGTACTGGGAAAGAAAGTGTTATGAAGCAGATCTGCAATCCATTCTCTCCTATTTGGGGTGGAAGGATGACCTCCTAAGCAAGAAAAAAGATGAGTGATTCAGGCTAATCTCCTGGTAAGCATACTAATAACAGACCTCCTGATAGACTAACGGTATTTGTGGTAGGAGAGTCTTCATCCATGGAATGCTTCCAGCAGGATATACCTAGCCTAGGATTGGTTCTGTTAAACAAACCTGGAATGTATGGATTTAAGCTATGTAACTATCTGAGTAACTATCTGAGCACTCCTTCTATGTCAGAGATGCAAACTGCACTTATCACTTAGAGACCACATAGTAATCGTGCTCCAGAACGTGCCCAGTGCAAAACAGACCTAGGGAGCCATACTGATGGTCCTGAGCCTCTCCCTGTTTTGCCCGTGCCTCATGGTTACCTGGATCCTTTAAATCATTAGTAAAGCTTGATACAGGGTAGGCTCTCTAACTCATGTGAGTCTAATTGACACTCCCAATCCTCTGTGTTATCCCTGTACTAAATCATGAAATATCAACCCTTCCCTGCTATTACGGATTGAATTGTGTCCCCCCTCAAATATGTGATGGAATCCTAACCCCTATACCTGTGGATGTAATCCCATTTGGGAATAGAGTTTTCTTTGTTATGTTAATGAGACCACACCAGTGTAGGGTCTGTCCTAAACCTAATCACTTCTGAGTTATAAAAAGAGAAGATCAGACACAGAAGGGAGCATGTACTAAGGAAGAGAGATGCTATGTAAGGATCGCCAACAACCAGAAAACCCCCAGGGCTAACAAAAAAGAAGGAATTGACATGGTCAAGACCCTGGTTTGGACTTTTAGCCCCCAGAACTGTGAGAAAATAAATTTCTGTTGTTTAAAGCCATCCACTTGTGGTATTTCTGTTATAGCAGCACAGCTAACTAAGACACCTTGGTTTTGGATTTTGAACTAAGGTTTGAATGGCAAGTAAATTTTTCAAAGATGGAGGGGAAATGGAAGCTATGAATAAAAGGTTCATGGGACAGTAAGAGTACAAATCTGACTGTAACAAGCAGTAAATAAAGCTGGAGACACAAAGCTGGAAACACAGGGTAGGCGCCATCACAGAGAACTTGGAAAGTCAGAGAGAAGAGTCTGAGCAGAATGCAGGGTTTTGTTTTTTTGTTTTTTGTTTTTTGGTTTTTTTTTGGTAAAAAAAATAAGGTGCTGACAGTGGAACATGAGAAATACTACTCTGATTGCATTGTGAGGAAAGCATTCCAGATAAGGTTAATCCAGAATTAGGGAAGTTAGTTAAAGGTACAGCAGTAATCAAACCTTGCAGATTCTGAAGGCCCTAAGCTAGACCATGTCAGTAGATATGAAGAGAAAGAAACAGTTAAACATCTCACAGAAAAAAAAAAAAAAAATCAGCGGACCTTGTTAAATGACAAGATCAGGGCAAGGGCAATAAAGGTTAACAATAAATCCATTGTCAAAGTGAGCACCTCCCTCCCTCCAGGAGGCGGAGCTTAATTTCCTCCCTTGATTGTAGGCAAGACTTTATGACTTGCTTTCAAGTAGAGTATGGAAAGGGGAAATCTTTGCAGCGGAGAAACCTGGCAGACACTATCTGAACCAAGTGATAAAGGTTAACATTACCAGTGATGTCATGTGGATGTCATGTTATCCCTGACAGGAAACGACAAGAAGAGTACTTCGTCTGTGTGGTTCTCATTCCAAAAAACCAATAACTTCCAACTAATCATGAAAAGGAAACCCTGGTGGAGTGGTGGTTAAGTGCTATGGCCGCTAACCAAAAAGTCGGCAGTTCGAATCCACCTTGGAAACTCTATGGGGCAGTTCTAATCTATCCTATAGGGTCGCTATGAGTCGGAATCGACTCGATGGCAATGGGTTTAATCATGAGAAAAACATCAGAAAAACCCAGATTAGGGGACATTCTACAGGACACCTGTCTAGTACTCCTTAATGCTGACAAGGCCAAGGAAAGAGTAAGAATATGTCACAAACCCAGAGGAGACTGGGCAGACATGACAACTAAATGTAATGTGGCACCCTGGATTATATCCTGGAACAGAAGGAGGACGCTAGTGGAAAAACTGATGCAATCCAGTGAAGTCTCGAGTTTAGTTAATAGTAATGTATCAATGCTGGTTTCTTAGTTTTGACAACTGTACCATGGCAATGCAAGATGTCAAAAACAGGGGAAACTAGGTGAGGGGTATAGGGGAACTCTCTGTGCTAACTTCACAACTTTTTTGTATATCTAAAATAAAAACGTTATTTTTAAAAAATGAAGGACTAAGAGAACGTTGACATCAGAATTTGGGACAGAAGGAAGTTGAATACAGGAATATGAATGACCCCAAGATGAACTGGAGTACATTATGTTCTTTTCCATGAAGAGCCTCACTGAATCCTAAGATTTGGGAAACATAGTTCATCCTGCAGCATACATCACAGGGGTGTAAGAATGCTGTCTTAGTTATCCAGTGCTGCTATAACGGAAATACCACAAGCGGATGGCTTTAACAAACAAAAATTGATTCTCTCACAGTTTAGGAAGATAGAAGTCCAAATGCAGGGTGCCAGCTCCAGGGGAAGGCTTTCTTTCTGTCAGCTCTGAGGGAAGGTCCTTGTCCTCAATTTTTCCCTGGTCTAGGAGCTTCTCAGCACAGGGACCCACGGTCCAAAGGATATGCTCCACTCCTGGCACTTCTTGTTTGGTGATAATGAGGTCCCTCTCCTGTCTGCTTGCTTGTCTTTTATCCCTCAGAAGAGATTGACTCAAGATAGAACCTAATCCTGTAGATTGTGTCCTGCCTCATTAGCATAACTGCCAGTAATCCTGTCTCATTAACATCATAGAGGTTAAGATTTACAGCACATATGATAATTACATCAGATCACAAAATGGAGGACAACTGCACAATACTGGGAATCATGGCTTAGCCAAGCTGGCATACATTTTGGGAGGACACAATTCAATCCATAACAAATGCCCTGGAAGAAAGAATAATAAAGCATTGTCATGCTGCAAAGACAGGTGGGTTAAAAAGCTCGCACCACCACTTACTCTAGCCTTTCCAAGCCTCAGCTTCCTCATTTGTACAATGGTGGTAATAATTCATATCATGTATGTTCATTTTTTATATACTAGCTTTAGGATCATGAAAAAATCTTTCTCCAAACTGAAAATAAACAGCACAACTTTAATTAATGATATCAGTAACCTACCACTGATTCATAAACAGGCAAGCTGTCTTATCAGACGAAAATTCCAAATGTATGCCAGTATTGCTCCATTCTGGAAAAAAAACTTAGAACAAAATATCAGCAATCACATTCTTATCCAAAATTCCACATATTGAGGAAACACTCAATAGCTTCTCAGCATCAAATAACACTCTTAATATGAAAAAAAGCTGAGGAGTTTTCTACCTTCTACAACCAAACAGATTATTTATTCTTCTTGAGGATTTAGAAATATACTTGGCGTGCTATAGCATTTTTAAAACATGGCATATTGTACACAGTATTCACTTAAACAAACAGGTTGCAAATAGTTGTCTGAAGCTGAACTAATGAGTGCTGCAAATAACCATTAGTAATATTAGTAATAATTATTCATGTTCACAAATATGAAGATCTAAGGATGTTCACTCAGAGTTATACATAACAATGAAACTTAGAACAAAGAAACACATAAAAATAGGGAAGTGGCTAAATATATTACATATCTATATGCCACCAAGAGATACAATGATGGATTCAGATAGTGTGAGAATAAAAAACAATTGCAGAACTTGCAAAAATGACTGAGCTTACAGCCTTCACACCCTTTCTTAGGAAATTATTTGAGGATAGGCTGCCAAAAAACGAGTGAGTAAACCAAGAAAGTTAAAGACATGGGATCCAGGAAACAAAATCTCCAACCCAGGAGAGTAATGAAATGAAGCACCAGGCCCTTGGGCAGCAGACCTAGGCAGCAGCCTGTTTAGACTGGAGCAAGAGGATGGAGAGCCTGGAGAATAGGAATGTGAGAAAAGATATTTCAGAGCTTTGATACTGTCCTTGAGAAATCGAGCAACTCAAATATGTTATAAAGGCAGATAACGCAAGAAAATTTAAAAGGCAATTAGAAACTCTAGCAATTAGATAGGAAATGCAATCCTGGTTGTGAAACAAACCTATTTTAATATAATCAAAATCAACCCTTTACTAACTTTACACCATGGCTTGAGTCAGGTGCACCTTAGTCCTTAGAGTGGCATCTTTGCTTTTTAACACTTTAAAGAGATCTTTTGCAGTACATTTGCCCAATGCAATACATTGTTTGATTTCTTGTCTGCTGCTTCCATGAGTGTTGATTGTGGATCCAAGTAAAACGAAATCCTTGACAACTTCAATGTTTTCTCAGTTTTTCATGATGTTGCTTATTGGTCCATTTGTAAGGATTTTTGTTTTCTTTATATTGAGGTGTAATCCGTACTGAAGGCTGTGGTCTTTGATCTTCATCAGTAAGTGCTTCAAGTCCTCTTCACTTTCAGCAAACAATTTTGTTTCACCTGCATAACACAGGTTGCTAATGAGTCTTCCTCTAATCCTGATGCCGCGTTCGTCTTCATATACTCCAGCTTCTCAGATTATTTGCTCAGCATATAGATTGAATAAGTATGATGAAAGTATACAACCCTGACCCACACCCTTCCTGACTTTAAACCATGCTTGTTCTGTTCGAACAACTGCCTCTTGATCTATGTACAGGTTCCTCATGAACTCATTAAGTGTTCAGAGATTCCTATTCTTCGCAATGTTAATCCGTAATTTGTTATGATCCACACAGTCCAATGCGTTCTCATAGTCAATAAAACACTGGTAAACATCTTTCTGGTATTCGCTTCTTTCAGCCAGGATCCATCTGACATCAGCAATGATATCCCTGGTTCTACGTCCTCTTGTAAATCCTCCTTGAATTTTTGGCAGTTCCCCGTTGATGAGTACAGCTACAGACGCTTTTGAGTGATCCTCAGCAGAATTTTATTTGCCTGTGATATTAATGATATTTCTCAATAATTTCTGCATTTGGTTGGATCACCTTTCTTCGGAATAGGCATACATATGGATCTCTACCAGTCAGTTGGTGGGGTAGCTGTCTTCCAAACTTCTTGGCATAGATGAGTGAGCACTTCCAGCACTGCATTCGTTTGCTGAAACATGTTAACTGGTATTCTGTCAATTCCTGGATCCTTGTTATTAGTCAATCCCTTAAGCTCAGCCTGGACTTCTTCCTTCAGTACCATCAATTCCTGATCATATGCTACCTCCTGAAATGGTTGAATGACAACCAGTTCTTTTTAGTAAAGTGACTCTTTATACCTTCCATCTTGTTTTGTTTAGTCTTTAATTTCTCTTAATAATGATTTGTGGTGTTTAGGGTAAAAATCTTGCACATAAAAATCTTGCACATCTTTTGTTAAATTTATTCCTAGGTACTTAATGTTTTTTGATGCTATTGTAAAGATATCTTTTTCTTACCTTTGTTCTGTTTGTTGTTGGCATATAAAAATACAATTGATTTTTGTATATATATATATAAAAAGGTACAGATAATTTGCTTTTATTCTTCACTTGACTTTTCTTTAGTTGCAATTACAAAATCTTCTTTTAAGGAAAAAGCTTACTACAAATAGCCTAAAGAATTATTGGAGTAAGTATCAAGTCAAAGTGCTTTCCAAATACCAGTTCGTGTTCTATACATGACAAGGATTTCATAATGGTTTGCACAATTATTTTGTTAGGCTTACCTAGAATAACAAAATGCACAAAGGGACCTAGGGAGTCACTGTATGAAAAATCCAGTAAACATAGGGTCTATAAATAGTTATAACACAGAATTTCTTTGCATGGAATCATTCATCATTTCATCTAATTTTTTCTATTTTGGTTCCCTGCGAGTAGCTTCACTTTAATTAGACAAATTTATTTCATACTAAAACAACAAAACAGAGGAAGGCACCAAAGAAGCAACAACCATCTTTAAACCAAAAAAAAAGGTTGATTTCCTTTACTTACCAATTTTACTAACTAAGGCAACAGTTAATTTTCTTTTTTAAAAATCCAGCATGTATTTTATTGGTTTTTAAAGAAGTATAAAAGTTGAAAGAGAAAAAAAGTATTTATCCCACATAATTAAACTTCAACTTGCCAATCCATGCATAGCCAGACATTTACTAAGCCTTTGATTTCAGTGGCCAGCAGGGAACTGCAGTTCATAACATTCACATTTAAAAATGTGTGTAAGTAATCTATTATCTTTCACCAGCTTATATTCTTTTCATAACACACTGATTATGTGTGGCTCATGTTCAGAGAACATATTTCTAAATCACAGCATGACATTGAACTCACCCGGGTACCCATACACATTCTTTCCAGAGTTCACCTGTATTTTGTTAATCAGTTTGCACCCTTTTTTAGAAAAAAATACTTAAGAAACAAAGTCCCTATATACCAAATATCTAAGACCTGTAAAAGGAACAAGTCTTTTGATGCATCTTAAATTGGTAATTTATTAATGGCTATGACATTTAAGAAAGTAGTAAAAATCTTGAAGTTGCCAGAGGATCAGAAAATATTTTATTAGGTTTCCTGAAAGGATCTATTCTATTGTCATCATTAGAATTTCAAACTAAGAAGCTGTATTTTTATCTACTATCTATTAAAATTTGAAAAAAAGAAGGTGAAGGAATGAACAGTAGGAAATGCCACAACAAACAGCCTACTTCTTCAGAAAAATAAAGTGATTATGGATGTCTTTTTACAGGTACAGAAGCACTTATTTTTATACATTAAAATCCATATAGTTTTTAAAACATTTATGTTATTTAAATCTGTGACTTCAAATGGGTGATGTGGAGAGACCCTTTGATATATCTGATTCTTGCAGAAATAATCCCAAATTGGCTTCTGAGTCACTATCTTTGTGGGAGTCAAGATAAAGAAAAATAGAAGAATATTAATACACATTTGTATGAAATTTTTTTAAATCCTCAAATAGTCACAAATATCCAGTAATGCAAGGATTTTAGTAATACCAAACAAAGAAAAAAAAAATAGCCAGAAATTACATTTAAGTTTTAAAACATGAACTTCTATGCCATGTCTATTACATAAAATTTATAAAATTCTAGCTTACATACATGTATTACTTCCAAATATATATTTTCAGCTTGGTGGTATATCTAGGTTGAAAAATAATTGATTATCAAGAAACCAAACAAACACGCAAGGGATATAAAATTGCTAGTTTACAAATGTATATGTAGAAAAATAATTTTAGGTATGGAATTTAATATGCTTTACTGCCTGAGATTTACTGTGAGAATCCTCCTTAAGCTCAGTCCTGGAATTCTGATGAAGTCTCTGAGCAAGACACTCCCATTGCTGCAACCTACTTAACTAATAAACATGTAATTAAGCAGAAAAGAAATAATTTAACTGGTTATACAGGAATCTATACCTTCCCCTGACTTCTAAATCATGAATGCATCTAGAAAGACAGACAAAAGTCTATTATCTACATAATCCTCACATTTTTAAGTAAAAATTCAAAATATTGGTGTCATTGGTCTCTCTCAAAATTTATAAATCCAAAATGTCATAGCAATACAGACACACATGTTAAGTTATTATTTTGTTTAATAAACAAGATAACATATCACAAAAGTGATCCCTGAATGGGTTTGGAGTTGGTCTTCATAAATTAACAAATGTATGGTTAGGCTTATGTTCCCCCTGAAGTCACTATACCGAGTCGTGTCTGATTGTTAGGCTATTACAAAACGGCACACACCAGTACAAGGCAGAATATATACAGGACTGTGGATTGGCGAATTAAATCAACAATCTCACCAATTGCTCTCCAACAGAAAATACGAAGCAACAAAGCTGTAAGAAGGAAAAATTTGTAAGATATTACGTAGGAAGAAAGCTGCATTGTTACCCAAATGTATTTAACTCTTTCCTCTGGCACTTCATCACTGTCTACTCTGAGCCCACAGCAGTTTGTTCATACTTCAGCTAGTCCAACATCCCATTTTTTGGTAAAGTATCTGCTTGGATAGAACTGTTTCTCCCACTATGGGGTTGGGGGGGTATCTTAGTTGTCTAGCGCTGCTATAACAGAAATAACACAAGTGGATTGGATGGCTTTAACAAAGAGTGATTTATTTCTTAACAGTAAAGTAGGCTAAAAGTCCAAATTCAAGGCATCAATCAGCTCCAGGGGAAGGCTTTCTCTGTTGGCTCTGGAGGAAGGTCCTTGTCATCAGTGTTCTCTTGGTCTGGGAGCATCTCAGGGCAGGAACCTCAGTTCCAAAGGATGCACTCTGCTCCCAGTACTGCATTCTTGGTGATATGAGGTCCCCACTCTCTGCTTGCTTCCCTCTCCTTTTATTTCTTGTAAGATAAAAGGTGGGGCAGACTACACTTCAGGAAAACTCCCTTTACATTGGATCAGGGATGTGACCTTAGTAAAGGTGTTATAATCCCACCTGAATCCTCTTTCACATAAAATTACAATCACAAAATGGAGGACAACCACCAATACTGGGAATCCTGGCCTAATCAAGTTGACAAATATTTTTGGGGGAGACAATTCAATCCATGACAGGGGGCATTGGTGGTTCAGTGGTAGAATTTTTGCCTTCCATTTGGGGACCCTGGTTCAATTACTAGCCAATACACCTCATGCTCAGCTACCACCTGTCCGTCAGTGGAGGACTGCATGTTGCTATGATGCTGAACGGGTTTCAGAAGACCTTCCAGACTAAGACAGACTAGGAAGAAAGGCCTGGCAATCTAATTCTAAAAAAGCAGCCAATGAGAACCCTACGGATCACAATGGTCCCATCCCGCTGTGAACAGAGTTAACAGTACATATATAACAACAAAAATAACAACCACTATACTGTGGTTCCTTCAGGATGACAGCCGTGTTGTAGGCATCTTCATACTCACAGAATCTAGCACCAAACCAAAAACCTGTTGCCATCAAGTCAATTCCAACTCATGGTGACGTGGTGTGTTACAGGGTAGAACCAAGCTCCAAAGGGTTTTCTTGGCTGTAATCTCTGAAGAAGCAGATAAGCAGGGCTTTCTAGCGATGTGCCCCTGGGTGGGTTCAAACCATCAACATTTTAGCTAGTAGCCAAGCACAAACCATTTGTGATACACAGGGACCCACAGTGTCTGGCATATAGGGGTGTAACATAATATTTGTTGAATGAATAAATGGCTAACTTGTTTCCAGTGTTAAATAAAATGAAAACATCATCAAATAATGTTTTTTTAAAGTTTATATTATTGATTTTAATTATCATATTAATTCAGACAGAGATAAGATGTTAGCAGAAAAGGTGGAAAATGACCAACTGATTTATAAAACAAATTCAACAAAAAATATAGAAAATGAACAAAAGACAAATTAAATGTTAATTTAAAATGGCAACACCACCGTGAGGTCATGACGCCAGTTTTTCCTAAAAAGGTCCTGAATAGAAATACCATGATTTAGGAAATATAACGAAACAGAAAAGTCTCAAAATGTCAATGTAACTACTTTTTTGTCTTTTTAACCAACTGGTTAATATGAAATTTAGACAGGGAAAAAAATGGCTAACATGGATTGACACCAGGGGAAAGATTCAGGTTTTGTGATGTCTAAAGCTTATATAAAGTGGGACCTTCTCTTATAAAAATAATAATTACAAATAAAAAATTAGATATGAATACTTAGAGAAAATATACCATCAAACTACAAGTGTTGAAGAGAAAATAAATACCACAAATGTGAAATATCAAGAAAAGTAATAGAACAGCCCTGGTGGCACAGTGGTTAAGAGCTCAGCTACTAACCAAAATATTGGCAGTTCATATCTACCAGATGCTCTTTGGAAACCCTATGGGGCAGTTCTACTTTGTCCTATAGGGTCACCATGAGTCAGAATCAACTCGACGGCAATGGGTTGTTTTGTTTTTTTGATTGACTGTCTGATATACCTCTCCAAGGATGTTTTCCCTACTTATCTTGCCTGCAAACTCTTTGGTCATCAATTTATATGATGATTTTATAATATTTTCTGTAGAAAGAATAAAAAGAATTCGCTTTTCATTCAGCTTTTAGAAATTTCTGATAGTTTAGAAAAGTTTCTTTCAGATTCATAGCTGTTCTTCGTAAATTTTTTGGATTATCTTATTTGAGAAAACCTTTATCAAGTTTCTTTCATACAAGATTTCCTGCGTAGTAACTACTTTTGGAACTGACACCACTCATTAACCAGTGTATGTGGTGTATTATGAATTCTGTGTTATTCTGGACAAAGACAGCATTTTGTGTCAAACCAGAAAAGCTTTTTCCAATGTCTTCACATGATTCACTCTTCTTTTAATTGGATTATTAGATAATCCAATAACCTATTAATTATTTCTATTCAAAATTTATCTCTTCCTCTTAATGAATTACTGCATTTTGATATGATTTAATTCTTTTGGTGACAATTCACTTCTCAGTGGCAAAAAAATGTTTTTTTATTTCGTTTATCATTTTTGTTTATATTCCATTATTTTTATTTGATTTTTTCTCAATTTTTTAATAAATTTGAAAATTACAAAATACACTTCCTATATAAATGTCCAAATTAGGAATCTGTTACTTCGCTCTTGTTTTATTGAGATGGTCCCAATGTCTTTTGCAGTTAAAATGACACGTTCCCAACTTCCCCTTTACCTAATTGTACAAATTCCCTTGGCCACTCCAACTCCATTTAACATGAGGGGAAATATGAGAGAGGTGCATGTGGAGTAGAGAAAGTCTGGATTATAATTGAATGTGGCTAAAACAGCTTATTTTTGCAAATTTTAACAAAGCAAAACAAAACAAAACAATCAACATAGGAGCACAGTTCAAGGGCCCTTGTGAGGGACTCTGGAGCTTAAACTTCTTTAGCTTCACAGTTAATTCCACCTGAGAGACTCTTAGGACACAAAGAGACAAACGAAACAAAACAAAACAAAATCCAAACTCACAGATTCCCACTCATGGCAACCCCGTGTGTTACAGACTAGAGCTGAGCTCCATAGGGTTTTCTTGGCTGTAATCTTTTGGAAGCAGATCAGCAGGCCTATCTTCCATGGCACCACTGTGTGGATTTGAACTGCCAGCCTTTTGGTTAGCAGCTGAGAACAAACTGCATCTCCCAGGGATCTACATAGGGCCTGTAACTAGTAAAAAAATATCTGGGCATCTGATGTCTGGGGCTTCACTCTGCAGCTGTGATATTCGTCTGAGATCAGGCAAAGTTGAGAAAGCTAACTTTTTTTTCTCTGTATGGATTCTAAAGGCTTCCTCCTCAAATAAATAAACCAAAAGCATACGCTACGTATTCTTTGCACAATTCCATGGGTATTTTAAAAAGAAGTAAACAGTAAACTACATATCACGTACCAGAAATGACGTAGCCTGCAGTAATAGCAATATTCACATTCACAAGTGATGGATCAAACCTATTAATATTTAAAACAAAATTTTTTTAGCACATGGGTTATAAATGATGCCTACATTTTTTTTCCCATTGAGACTTGAATATAATGAAAATACTTTCTGTAGTTTCTCAAATGTTAAGTTTCCATTTTCAAATATAAACCATAGGCAGAGCCAACATGGCACTATAAACAGAAGGACCATGCTGTCCCTCTGCAGCAAAGACCCAAAAAACTAAGTAAAACAGATACAAACATCAATCTTGCAACCCTAAGTACCAAAAAGGAATAAAAAACTCAGTCAAGCACTGAATAGAATAAGAAACTGACATAGACAGAGAACGAGGAGAGCTTGGAGCAGAGGTCCCATACTAGCTAACATGGCCAGGTTTGCCACCTTGGGCTTCAGCTGCCAAACAACTCAGACAGGGAGTCCGGGAAGGCCACTCCACGGAGCTTCCAACAGGAGACAAACCACCCAGTAACCAGGGATACATGTTTTTCTACCCTACACCCTTCTTCCCTGTACAAGACCTCTGCCACTTGCCATCAGGCCAAGATTGCTCAGCTGGAGAGATACCAGCTCACTACCACAAAGGTTCATCATCTTGGGCTACAGCCATCAAAGAACTCAGACAGGGAGTCCAGGAGGGCAACTCTATGGAGCTCCCAGCAGGACACAGACTGATACAAGCTTTCCCACCCCCTACTCTTCTTCCCTCTTCATGGTCCCCTGCTGATAGCCACCCTCTGTTTGCCAGTGGGTCAAGGTTGCTTGTCCAGAGAGACATAGCTCACTGCTGCCGGGGTCAGCCCCAACCCAATGGGCAGTCCCTGCAGCCCCAATTTTTGTTTTGTTTTTTTTTTTGTATTTTTGTTTACTGGTTGTTTTTTTTTTTTTTTGGAAGGGGGTGTTGCTTTT